TTTTTTTTCTTGGAGCCATATCCTCCCATTGGCTGTGGGAATGTACAGATGTCTTTTTCTTTTTTTTTTTTTTCTTTCTGTTCCTGGCTGTTTTCCATTGTCAGCTCTTTTTTAAATGGATATTTAGGTAAGTGAAGAGCAAGGATCTACAGAAACACCAAGATTCACCAAAACAGAGGATAGAATATGATTCACAACTGTTGTTTCCAATGGAATATAAATAACAACACTAAACATCAGAAATAGCCAAGGTGCTGCCTACAGTGCTGTCTCCAGCATGAGTTCACAGTCAGAATTGTCTTCTCCTTCTGGGGGCAATATTTGACCATGATAAACATCTTAACTAGCTTCTCTCTTCCAGCTCCCACTGCCCCCTGCCAGTAATTTCATTAGGTACCTAACTGTATCCCTCACATCAATGTTTAATTCAATTACTTCCTCTCCTCTTGCATATTAGGTACTAACAGTATTCAGCAAGTGACTCCACGCATCAATGCTTCAGCTAATGTCTATAATTTTTCTTTTTTGTTTTGTTTTGTTTTGTCTGATTCTTCCCTGTCCCTCTTCTTCCTAGATATAGAAAATGTTCGGGCAAACTTTTAGCAAAATATCTAAGCAAAAGCAAGTCCTCACAGCTTCAGGTTCATAAGTGCTCCTCAGGACAGTGGTGGCTGGGTGTGGTGTGAATTACACTCCCAGAAGGTGCTATGGATGCCCAAGCCTCCATATTGCTCCACATCTGTTATTCTGACTTGCCCTACGTTTCCAAGATAAGTGCTTGTACAAAAACTTGATACAAAACCGAGTACTTATTTCCTGGAGAATAAGTGCAATTTTTTTTAATCTATCCACCCTGTGAAGCAAAGCACAGCTTTGAGCGCAGCCTGGAGTTTCTTGTTGTAGCCTCCTGCTACACTTATTTGCCTTCGCGCACACTGGGATAGACTGTCCTTATGCTTTGATATTTGTGTAGGGTTTCTTAAGCGAGCAATAAATGTGCTGATGGTCTCATCTGTGCTCTTGTTTACACATTTTTCACTTATTCTGGAAACTGAAGTCAATTACCCAGATTTCAAGTTGTGCTTTATCAAATCTGAAGTCTCTTGAATATTCAGTGGTACTTATCTATAGAGCAAGCATGTAAAACTCGACAGACAAAACTATTTCCAGTAAGAAAGTTGAAGGATGTTTTTGAAGGGTGAAATTTATATGGAGGTCACATTTGTACAGGGATTAAGGAAAACAGATGATACATATCCATATATATACCTCACTTCATATCACATTACACTGGCTCTGCAGCTGTTGACTCACATGGCACCCTATTCTCTGTGTAGGTGCTATTGGTACAGTGCACACTGAAACCAGACACTGCAACACATCATAACAAAGAGCTATTATTATCTTCATGCAAATATTTGCAAATGCTTCTACTTTCCTCCCCTTAAAATGCTAAATCTGTAAAGTCAAATACTCAAAAGTTATGAAATAATGGAATTGGACAAAGGATATTTCATCCCCCCAATGATCTGGACATTGAGATTCAGTCTCTAATTTGTGACCAGAAACTATTTTTCCACAGACTTTCTGCTTCACTCATATTAACAGCATTCACTCAGAAGGCCGTTGTTCATCCTTAGCTTTTATTTGTCAGTGCACAGCCCTATACTTACTTTCCCCACCAGTGAATCCTCTGAGGACAGAACTATTAATATTTTCACAGGCTCATCTGTATTGCCGATCACTGTGGTCATCATCTGCACAAGTGTTTTAAAAAACCCAGCTTGGTCACCTCCTAGAGGACAAGGAGTTATGCCAGGGAAACAGAGGTAGGTACTGAGTTTAGGACCAGAAGTTCCTGGGATCCAATTTTTCAGAGGCTTGAGGAATCACTGTTCACAGTCAGTGCAGCAGGACCTGAGCACTCTCAGGTGTTGCAGTTGGAGGTGTGAAGCAGACACCCGGAAAAGGGGATACATCAGCTGTACAAGTTGATGAGCATCACTGAGGAGTCTGGTGACAGTGACGGACAGACCATAGGGAGCTATTACAGGACCCTAAGCACCTTCTGTGCTGGGGGGAGCAGGGATCTGACAAACAGCCTCGCCATGCTGCATCAGCTTTGGCAGCCCTGCATTAGCTCTCTTGTCTTGTCCAGATGCTCCTGGTGAGTTTGTCTCGCCCTGTTCTCACTCCCTCCTTCCACTCCTCGGTCAGTTCTTGTTTTATTTTTTTTTGTTCTAATTTAAACTTAGTTTGTCCCTCTTTCCCATTCAGCATCCTAGTTTCTTTGCCCTCTTTTACTTCCCTTTCTCCCCCAACAAGAACTGTTTTCCCCTTTTCTGCTCTTCTTTTTGGATTCCTACGTCTTTTCTCTTGTTCACAACTATCTGTCATACTTTCCCTCTTGTTGCCCCTAACAGCAGAGACCAGCAGTCCCTCCTTTCTGCCCAGAAAGGCTCTCTGCCACCCTCTACCCCACAGCTGGTCCCAGCCATTCCTCCTCCTCTCCTCCCTCCAGCCCTGAAGCCCCAGCATTTTGT